AGAAGCCTCCTCACCCGCTCACACTACAGCCCAAGGGCAGTCCTAATAAAGGAACTGCAACATAGTAACCAGATGAGAAACCTCAACATTCCATCCTGAATCAGGGACACGCCCCCAATTACTTCAACGTTCCATCTCCTTAACGAGGGACATCCCCAGCCCTTGAAAGGGCAGTTTTGCCTAACAACTAAGATAACCCCATGTACACCGGCAAGGACCTGCTTTCCCAAAATTTCCCACCCATCAGATCCCTAGGATTTCCCACCCCATATCCCTCAACTTAATAATAAGCCTTGCTTTCCCACTGTTTCTTCTTTCTTATAAAGTGGGGACCCAAAAATCACTGAATAAATAGTTGTTTTCTCCTCAGGGTTGTATTCTGTTCTAAATTTTCCAGGATATTTGCATCAGTAAAAAAAAATAAATACTGCCATAGAGTACATAGCAGTGTAGAGTACAGGTAGTCCTTGCTTAGTGACCACAATTGGGACTAGCAACTCCATCGCTAAGCGACATGGTCACTAAATGAAACAATATGTGTCCACAATGGACTTATGATGTCACTTCCCATTTGGTCATTAAGCAAGTTGCCATGGTTGTTAAGTGAGACATCATGTGACTGTGACTTGTGATTTACTGCTGGCTTCTCCATTGAGTCTGCTCGTCGGAAGTTGGCTGTGAAGCATGCCAATGGCGATCAAGTGACTGCGGAGACGCTGCGATGGTTGTAAATGCAAGGACTGGTCGTAAAGTTGTTTTTACATGCCGTCATAACTTTAAACAGTCACTAAGCAGGGCATTTGTTAAGCAAGGTCTACCTGTAATGTCCTGATGCAACAAGGCAGTACTTATAATCCAACGGCAATGCTTAACCATTACAAAGTGCATGAAAATTTCAGCACACTTTTCTGAAAGAATGCGTGTTTTCAGTTGACCTGTTTTTGCATTGGGAGTATCCATGGACCTTTCTTCTGGGAACATCCCCCATCTTTGGTGACCTGGGCAGCAACTAGAGGCCTTCTCTGTTGATGTTGCATGTAGAATCCAGAAACTGCACCTCTACTGAACCATTATTTTCCTTCCTATTTTTGTCAACTGGGGGCAAAGAAAGAGAAGCCACAGAAAAGGGGGAAAAACCAACCCCCTGCCAGTGATACCAAGCAGGTTGGGGTTATAAAATGGTGGTCCTCTATCATGAAAGCTACCCCAACCAACTTCGTATGATTTTTCTGTAAATTAAGCACTCACTGCATGACCATACGGATTTTTAGCACAGCATTTCCTCTCTGTAACAGACATCTTTAAAATGTCAGTTTCAAAAAGGACCAAATTAACTGATTCTGTTAATCACTGGGCTTGATGGATGGGGTTCCTTAAAAGAGAGAGAGAGATTTCAAACAATTGTTCTGTGACAGTTTATCAGCATGTAAATATTTCACAGTGGAAATGGTATAAAGTTCTCCAAGCATTCACTCATTCATGCACGCAATTTATCCACCACCTCAATCTTAGCGGGATCTAGGTTTACATTATTCGTGAACTGCTTTTACAAGATTTGGGCTTTCTCATCATTCCTACCTGTCCCGTCTTCCAAATGTCCAAAATTACAGATCTGGGTTATGTGGTGAATCCACACGTGCATTTCCTCTTCCGATTTGGCCACTAGGTAGAAGGTGCGGTACGTTGTTTTCACAACAAAAACAAAGTTGTTCTGGAATTCCTTCTTGATCAAGTTGGACCCCGAGTGCTTCACTACTTCACACTCGTTAAGATCTATCACTCGGATAGGCTTCTTGGAATGTTTGTTCCGGTAATATTCCAGCACATCGGGATTGCCACTCATTCGGCCTTGACGCAATACGAACCAGCGTTTCCGCCAAGCCTAAGGAAACATCACCATCAGAAAAAGGTTATTGAGAAGAAAAGAAGGATTCTGCCTTCGCCCTGCCCCTATGATTTCTCCATCTCTGAGCTCTTCCAGAACCTCTACTGAAGTTCAACGGCTTATGTGACAGAAAGGGGGCAATTAAAGACATTAGGAGTGACAGTAGGAACTCTACTCAACTAATTTAAATTTAAAATAACTGAATTACAATTGAAATGGAGTTGTAGGGTTGCCCTGGCCTCACTCATGTTTGAGTGCAGCCATCCACAGGCCATTAAATGCCAAGCATGCCCTTGACCCGAAAAGGGCTCTGTGTACTTACCACACAAGGTGTTTAACTAGACATGCTGGCAACTGAATCTAGGACTTTCAACAAACAACACATTTGTTTATTTATTTACATATTTATTCCTGTATTTGGACTATTTATAGTCTGTGCTTAGCAATCTCTCTCAGCCTCTTCCCACTGAAGTAACAAAACACCGCTGAAAAGCACTGTATCATCAGTCAGAGGAACAATTCGACAACTGCAAGAAAAGAAGAGTGGAGAGAAAGAAAGGGAAGATGGGGGATCCAGAATCCAACAATTACTGAACAAAACCCATAGGGAACACCTTAAAAAATCCCAAACTTTGTGTAAGCCACTGAGTCTTCTTAAACCAGAGCAAAAATAAGCCTATTATAAGTGTGGAGAATCTGGGCAGAAGGCATTCTACAATGGGGTTCCACAACTAAGAAGGCCCTCCCCATGTCTTTAAGTACCACCTTGGGGAGGGAGAGAGAATTCTGGGACTTGGAATCTCAGCCCATCTGCAGAGCATCAACTTGGGGAAGGCAGGTCCCATGCAGAAACGCTCTGCTGAGCCCTTGGATTATGTTTCCTGGAAGTACACAAAAAAACCACAAGCATAAAACCAAAAGTAGATGAGTATCAGGTCTGGGGGTTTCTGCTCCTCCCATCTCTGTCATTCAAGGAGAAGGCTAAATTCATAACGGGCACAAATACTGCATTTGGCATAAAACATAGGAGCAAGAAACAGCTCTTACCACCCTGAAGAGGATTTTCTTCCATGCCTTTGCATTCAGAAGAAGCCCAACCCAGAAGGAACAGAATTTATGTGTCCCATACAGCAGATCCAGTTTTCTTGTCCCCACCGCTGAATTGTTCAAGCTGGAAGGGTTAAGTATCACAAAGTTTGCTTAAATTATGGCTTCCAAATCACATAGAAAGCCTCTCCATCGTGTCAGCCATGACTTTCATCTCCAAGTCCCTCCTCAAAAGACCAATAAAGCCTTTTAACATTTCAACAAGGTCTTCTGAGACCTTATGAACTACTGTCAAATCTTCTGAGACTTCACATGGGACCAACTTCTTTCATAATATCAGTGAAATGTTGGCATTCTTGCACAATATATTGAAGGATCACCAAAATCTTCAACATTGTATCATGTTTTTAAGGGGGAGGCCAAGCTGTCATGTAACCGAGTACCTGCTGGTGGTCACATCAATGCCTGCTGTTCTATGCACAGAGGTGGCTTTGTCATTAAGACCTTTGCCCACTAACACTCAGAAGACATCCAAAATACAACAGATGAAAATGCTTCAAGCTTTTCCCTCCTGTGGTTCTTCTTCCCAAGGTGCTGAATGCCTGCAGGACTTCAGTTGTGCCTGACTGGACTTGGCAAACCAAAATCCATTAGGCAAGCATTAGAGACAGACTGCTAGACCTTTGTCCTTAGCTGTCTTTGTCACTGTCAAAGCAGACTAGACAGAATGCAGTTTGTGCTTTCTTGAGCTGGCTGGGAGAAGAATCATGACATCCATTTTGCGGTTTCGGGAAATGAGTGCCTAATTGCTTGGTGGCTTTGATGCATATCTGTGTTATGCATTTTCTGACCCTTGCTTTTGTTAGCGTAAGAGCAGCCTTCCAAAAATGACTGCAGCCAAACCAGAGAGCCAACATGACTCTATATTAATCTGCACTGACCCTTCGCAAACAGTTATGAAAAACCCACACTTGTTAAAAAAAGGATTTCAGAGTGAAACTTGCTATCTCACTGTCTGCTTATCCTCTCTATATTTTTGCTTGTTTATCTGCACCACCGCCTTCAATTACCCGAACAACTGCATTTACAAACTCTAATGCTAAACCTGGATCTGTTTTAGGGAGGGGTTGCTGAGCAAGTTAATGTTCCCCTTGAAAACAAAATAACAATGCCTTGTTTTGCCAGATCTTAGATGACTTCCCCTCCTTTTTCTTTGAGCACCTCCAAACAGGGGCAAGCATGCAAGAGCAAACCAGAAACCCAATCCAGAAATAAACTTGGGTTTGGGTTTGATATCACAACAAACTAGGATTAAAAGAAGCCACTAGTGAAAACTTAGCACCAATCCATGATTAAAATAATGGCAGAGGTGAGTTAAGGTATTCAAACTAATCGCAACTAGGCGGAACAAATCCTGATCTCACTCTTGCACCATCCAGCTTCTGAGCTCTTATTAAAGTTCCTAAGGCTATAGGTCGCACTCTGCACCCACTGAACAATGATCGGGTATGTGGAAAACCCCTGTCTATGGTTTCCACACATTATGAACCACCCTGGGAAGCATTATAATAAAACCAATTTCACGCAAGCAGGCAATTTGAAAACAGACAAAAACCACTATGTAGTCAACTCTTTATTTCTCGACTGCTTTGTCCCCCGATTCTGGGTGGTCAATCGGTAGCAGAGCGTATGCTTTGCAACGTGTTGAGGTTCAACCCCAGCATCTCTGATTTAAAACCAACCAGCCATCCTCAAGGAGAAGATCTGAGAAAGGCCCCTGCCAGTGAACTTGGACGACTGACGGTTTGAACTTGGGAAAGACTCAGTTCCTCTGCTAAACTCAGGGAAGAAAGCTGCAATACCAGTTCCTGGGGGATGGCCGCATTGCACAACGACAAGGTCATATGAGAAAAGCATCTCTTAAGGAAGAAAGCTCTGAGCTAATACAACCCAAGTGAACAGGCCAGTCATTCACACAGCAGCAAACTAAACCCTGGTGGAACAAACTCTCCATACCCAGAGACAATAGATTAACTGAAAAGAAGAGCCCAAATGCCACCAGTTGGCTTGAGACTGGATTTTTTTTTTTTTGGATGCAAAAGCTAAAGTCATACTGTGCAAACCATGACAAACAGTGCTTGGCTTACTAATTCTGAGAGACAGCCCATCCATTCCAACCAGCCCTGAGTATTTTGTGGTTCACCAAATGTGGTGCTTCTGTTATCATCTAAAGCAGCACTTCTGATAAACACCCCACCCCCCCCAACACCACTCCTAGGAGGTGCTAAAGTTGAGAAATATTTCTTCAAAATCTGCAGGGTAGAAGGACTGGTTCAGCTACGGTTCTTTTGTCTGAAGTCTTCTCCAAGTTGGAGCTCACCAGATAACTCAGATTTCAGCAGTAGGAATTCCCAGCCAAGGGCAATCTTAGTGACCACCTTGTCATTTATAAAAGCAAGATGAGGACCCTTCAGTGTAAGATAAAGCTAAACTTTTTCAAAGGATGGGTCCACAAGATGAAGTCTAGATGTCGCAGCATGTTCTAACTTTTCATAGCCTTAGTGGCTGGAATTTTTTCCTTACTTTTGTGGCTTAACCCTCTCATTTTTTGTGTTTCCCATTTCAAGATGGCAGAAAACTATACTATCAACTTTCAGCAATCACAAAGAAGGTGTGGTAGGCCTCTTTCAACCCTGGAATTACAGATTCCCCATCCTGTCATAGAATAACAATGTGTTGTCGTTCCCCTTGGCAGGTACAGGAGGAGGAAAGATGCCCCTGGCATATTCCAAGAACTCAGAAATTATTTTTATGAGCCAGAAATTAAAAAAAAAACAACAACCTTAGATCATTTAAAAATATCAGGGGTGAAAATATCTCCCTACTGGATTTGATATACCTCCACTGCTAGGAAACAGCTGGCAAAGAACATTCCCGTATTTGTTATACAATGAACGCTGGAAAGAAAATCAAGCAGAGGGGACCTGATTTTGAAGAAGAGCAGGATGACTCCATTTCTCATTGGTCAAACAAGACGAGATGCAGTATGCCAAGAAAAGAAGAGACAAAAGGCCACATGCTCAGAATAAACTCAGAGCAACAAGAACTTTGAATTATACCAGAATCAAACTGGAACCAACAGGAAAAGACCACATGGTTGTCACAAAGGGCAGGCCTCAATCTGTACCCCTTTGTATATTTTAAACGCCAGGAAAGAAACAACTAAGAGAGAGTTTCGTAAACTTGCCAATTCCTCGTCCGGAGAATGGATTCCTTTGAGCACATCAGCATACAGCGGAGTGGAAAACGATGGAGTCTTTGTCGCGTAATGACTTATCTGGAAAAAGCTACACAGGATGCTGTGGAAGTTATGGCAGCATACGTATCGGGTGCATGTACTTGTTTTATATAAATCCACAGATAAATATTTTCAGGACCTGCGTCCCTCTGACAAATATGTTATTCCTGCTAACTTTAGAACTACTGTACTTCTTTTTAAGACACGGCGGGAGGAGAACCGTGTTAGTCTATGGGGGCAAAACATCAGGAGGAATCTGGGAGAACCTTTTTGGACCATCAGATGTTATTGAAAGGCATAAGCTTTGTGAGCTGCTGGTCAGTTCATTGAGGGCATCGAGTGACTATACTGATATAAGATAAAGATCCTGCTGATGGGAAGTCAACGTAGTGTTAAGGGTTACAGTAGACCTTGGAAAAAAACAGACTGAAATCTCCCTCTCAGTCTTGAAGCTTGTATGATAATTTTGGGGACTTATCTTCTCCCCGGTGAGCCTAATTCCTAGGGACAGCGGATTTTCATGCATTGCCCAGTTTAAAATGATGGGAATTAAGATTATCTATTTTGGGCAGGGAGCACTGGAGGACCCACAAAAAAGGGCCCCTTGAAACCTATGGCCAATGGTTGCCCACAGTTGGCCTATAGTCAGAAAGAGACATCTGGCTATCCTTCAAATAGTTTACATTTGAATTTTCTTCAAGCCCAGCCCGCGGGAATCACAGGAAACTGGTGTCTTTCGGGAACACCATCTTGCAAATCGTACAAATTAATCATTGTGAAAGGAAGTGCCCCGGACAAGCCACCGTGATGTCATGTGATGGCATGACTTCTCCTCTCACTCCCCAGGGGATCCCCTGGGGATGAGAAGAAGCCTTTTGAAAATATGGCATCAACTCCCACCAGTGCAAATTCTTTTCAAAATTCTCCTGAGGAGGGTGCTGTTGACTTGCCTGCTTGTTTATAAGACCCTCTGCAATTTTCTGTAGCTTATCAAAACCAAGAAAAAAATCTATATAGTAATCAAAGGGGGAAAGACTGGAGCATAAAGACTGCACATTTGGAGATGGGTTTTCCTACTTGTAGACTTGACGCTCTAATCCAGTGTTTCTCCACCTTGACAACTTGAAGATGAGTGGACTTCAACTCCTAGAATTCCCCAGCCAGCCATGCTGGCTGGGGAAATCTGGGGGGTGAGGGCCTCACCACTTCTAACTTCCCAGGTTGAGAAAAAAAGAACTA